GCAGGATGGTAGAGCTGGGGGAGGGATAGAGTGGGAGAGCAATGAAAGAGATATCTTGATAGAGGGAGACATTATGGGGCTAGGGAGAAACCTGGTGCTAGGGAAATTCCCAGGAATCCACAAGGATGACTCCAGATCAGACTACTAGAAATAGTGGAGAGGGTGCCTGAACTCGGTAAACAGATTGGCAAATACCCTAACTGTCATCATCGTTCCTTCATCCAGTAACTGATGGAAGCAGATGCAGAGATCCACAGCTAAGCACTAAGCCGAGCTCCAGGGGTCCAGTTGAAGAGATGGAAGAGGGATTGTATGAACAAGGCGGGGGTGGGGGTGGGTGGTGGTCAAGATCATGATGGGGAAATCTACAGAGACAACTGAACCAAGCTTGTATGAACTCACAAACTTTAGACTGACAGCTGTGGAACCTGCATGTCACTGGACTAGACCCTCTGCATTTGGGAGACAGTTGTGTAGCTTGGTCTCTTTGAGGGGCCCCTGGCAGTGTGATCAGGATCTATCCCTGTGCCTGAGCTGGTTTTCCAGAGCTCATTACCTATGGTGGGATGCCTTGCTCAGCCTTGATTTATGGGGAGGGGCTTGGTCCTGCCTCAATTGAATGTACCAGGCTTGCTAACTCTCCATGGGAGCTCCTACCCTTTTGGAGGAGGAGATGGGTGGTGGTGGTGGTGGGGAAGACTGAGGAAGCAGAAGAGGGGGATCTGTGGTTGGTATGTAAAATGAATAAAAAATTTTCTTAAATAAAAAAAGAAAGAAATCCTGCCTAGCTACTGGCCATTCAGCTCTTTATTCAACCAATCAGAGTGACACATCTTCATAGAGTACAAACAGATTATTCCACAGCAGCCCTAAGCCCAGCAGTAGATGATCAACACAAAACAAACTCAACAGCTTCCTTTGGAGGCTCTTTGTCTCATAATGTTGTAGCAGGGTTTTTGTTGTTGCTGTTGTGTGTTTTTTAATGTTCCAGATCTTGTGTGGACATATTATGGCTTTTGGTTTTGTGTTTTTATCAGATTCCGTGTGTGCAAATGTGTGTGTCTTTGCATCTATTTGTGTTTCTTGTGTTTTATCTTCGTCTCTTCTGTTTGTTTGCTTTGCTGTATTCCAATTTGTTTTTGTTTTATCGTATTGTATCCTATCTTATTTTATTATTATTCCTTAGATGCCTATGTTTTTTTCCTAAGGAGAGACACAAAGGGTGTGGATCTGGATGAGAAGGGAGGCAGGAAGGAATTGAGAAGGGGAGGGGGCATAGATACCATAATCAGAATGTTTTGCATGAGAAAATGTATCCACAATAAAATAAAACAAAGAATAGAAAAGCAGGAACATAGGCAGAGTGAATTTGTGTCTATTATATCAGATTTCATGACCACCTGGCTATGACTTGCTTTCCTAGTCTGATTTTATTTCCATTTAAACTCCTAATTGTTGTGAGGGAGCGTTTGTGTGCATGTATGTGTGTATGTGTGTATGTGTGTGTGTGTGTGTTGTTGTTGTTGTGCATGCTCATGAACATGTGGTGTATATGCCCATGCGTGCACATCCAGGGCTTAAAACGGGACATCAGGTACCTTCCTCTGTTGCTGTCTGCCCTATTGCCTTGACATATGGTCTCTCACTTAACTGAAAGCTCCTTGTTTAGGCTACGCTAGCTGGCAAGCCTGTGAGTTCTCCGGATTTCCTAGTGCTGGAGTTGCAGACCCACAAGTGGAGCCATGCTTGAATCTTTACGTAGGTGATGGGGATTCAAACCCAAGTCTTCATAATTTCAGAGCAAATGCTTTTACTGACTAAGCTCTAATCTCAGTCCAACAAACTTCTATTCATTCATGTGTGTGTGTGTGTGTGTGTGTGTGTGTGTGTGTGTGTGTGTGGCTTCACATGACTTCTAGCCTACTGTACTCAGGTCCTCAATTTAAGTGGCAAACAATTTACCTATTGAGTCATCTCTCCAGCTTCTCATTCTTTTTATTTTAAAAACTGTTATCAGATATGTAATACTGGGAACAGTCTTTCCACATTCATTACATTTACTTTTTTTTTGTTTTGTTTGTTTGTTTTTTGTTTTTTTCCCTGTATGAATTCTCTAATATCTGTTGACCTGGGACTTCTTGTAAAGAGTTTTCCACATGCAATATTTTCATTTCTTTTTAGTGAGTTCTCTCAAGTATTGTAAAGGATGATGATTTATGGTGGAAACTTTTCCTGCACATTTTATATTCATGTAGTTTGTCACTTGTGTGAGTAGCTTGGTGGCTGATGAGCTGTGTCTTCCAGGAAAAGGAATTTCCTCCATCATTCTGCTCATAGTTTCTCCCAAGTGTCATTGCTCTGGTGAGTAGCAATTCTGCCTTAGAGCATAAGGCCATCTCATATTGCATACTTGCATAGTGTTTTTACCCTGTGTGTATCCTCTGATGCATCGTGAGATCTAATTTGCTACTGTGGGTTGTCTTGCATTCAAGAAATTCAGAACATTTCTTTCTGGGGACATGATTCTTGATATTTAATGACATTAGACATTTGATACAAACTTTTCTTCACTACGATGCTAGTGCTTGCCCCAGGACTCCCGTATTTATTATGCTTACTGGTCTGAATCCTTTTGTAGGTAACAAAGTGTCCTCGTGGTTTTTGTCTTCTTGTTAGAAAGGCCCCCTTTCTCCCATATTCACAATCCCACCGACCAATTTGAATTTTGTGAGGCTGAAGGAAAAGCACAGGACACTTACCCCACTCCCAAGGCACACAAACGAACTGTAGTTCTCACAAGAGAAGCAAGGCTTTAACTGACCAGTAAAGTCTCATGCAATGAGAAAACAATACAGGCACATCCTTTGTTTAAATTTCATAATTAGGAGACATTGAGAGGGTTCACATTCTTCTGTGGCTCTCAAAATTTTTCTTACTTTAATGAAGGATGTTTTTATTTTCATTTTTATTAAATTAGGGGGAAAGCCATGATATTTAAGCTAGCTTTTCAGTCTCATTGTTTGCTTGTTTTTAAACATTTAAGGCTAAATGGCTAGGAAGCTTGGCAGCCTACTTTCATAGTTATGATCATTATCAGTCATCTGTATTTTTAATTTTGGACCTATATTTAGGGATTATCAAATGGGACTGTGGAGGTTTGAATGAGAGATGACCCCTGTGTGAGCTCATGTATTTGGACACTGGGTTTCCAGTGGATGGTACGGTTTGGGGCTGTTGTGAAAACTTTAGGAGGTGGAGCCTTGCTAGAGGAAGTATGTCATTGAGTACTGGTTTTAAGAGCCTAAGCCTCACTCACACTTCCTGTGTCTCCCCACTTCCTGTGGCCCCTTATTTCCTGTGTTCCCCCTGCTTCCTGTGGCCCCCACTTCCTGCTGTCATGCCTCTCCTATGATTATCGATTTTATCCCTCTGGAACCATAAGCTAAAATAATCCCTTTCTTCCTGAGGTTGCTTTTGGTAGTGGTACTTTATCACAGGAACAGAAAAGTAGCTAATACTGTAATAAAATACAGGGACCTGACATAAGATTGCCTGAGGTCAGATCTTGGCTATGGATTTTCCTAGTTCTGAAACCTTTCATGAGTAAGAATAATATTAACACTCATTCCACAAAATTGTTCTGCGAATGGAAAATTTGACACATTAATTAGGGTAGATAATTGAGAGGAATAAAAATCTGTTTAGTTTGTTCTTTTGTAGTGTTTAGCCTTCCCGTTTTTTCTTAATTGGTTGGGCAAGATTGGTGAGACAATGTCCAATAGTTATAGCAAGCTGATACTTTGCATTTTAAAATTAAAATTAGAATAGTAGCCCAGGCCTTGAATCCTGGCTATTTTTGGGGAATCTGAGGCAATAGGATCAATAGTTCAAGTCCTACCTGAGGAAAATTAATAGAATCTGTATCACAAAAGACAAAATGATTACAGCTCAGAAGTAGGGTACTAGGCAAGCATGCACAAGACCCTTCAATCCCACTGCTGCAAAAAAATAAAATAAATTATGATGGAGATAAGTATTTCCAATATTTTACTGATTTTTTTTCACTTTTATTTTATGTGTTTGGGTATTTTGCTTGCATGAATGTGCGTGTCTAAGGCCTAAAAATGCCAGAAGAGAGCATTGGATGCCCCTGGGGCAAGAGATACAGGTGTGAGTCACCATGTGGGTTCTGGGAATTGAACCTGGATCATCCAGAAGAGAAGCCAGTGCTCTTAACTGCCTAGCCATCTCTTTAGCCCTAGTATTTCACTTCTAAGTACCACGGGAAGGCTTCCGTTTGTTCTTAGCTTACTGAATGTGGTGGTTAATTTTGGCCGTCAACTCGATGGGACTCAGAATCACCATGGGAACATAATTCCGAGAAAGTTTCCAGAGAGGGTTACATGAAGAGAGAAGATGCACCCTAAATGTGGACAGCACTGTCCCAGAGGTTGGGGTCCTGGGCAGAATAGAAAGTAGAAAGTGAGCTGAGCCCCAGCATGGACCTCTCTCTGTTTGCTTGCACATGACATCTGACCAGCTGCTTCAAGCTCTATGGTCTTGCCTTCCCCATCACTGTGCACTCAAATCATGAGCCCAACACACCTACCCTTCTTAAGTTGCTTCTGTCAGGATTTTGTGTGGTCAGGGAGGACAGGAACTAGAGCACTGGACATTTTCATCATGAACAGATCTGAGTTTTATCCAATGCTTTTCCAGTATCAAGAGAAAGGATCACAGCACACTTCTCTTTTAAGTTAAGGCACTGTGTTGTGTTTGCCTCCCTAGGATAATATCTTTTTAATATCCCAGTAGACTTAATCAGATGATAGGTTGTTTAGAATCTTTTATGTTCAACTAAGAAATTAATTAATCACGCCAAGGACAGGCCATCAGTGGTAGTAGGGGTAATAACTCATCATCGCTGTAGGGAGAGGTTAATGGCTACGAAAGAGGCATTCTCAAAAGTTGAAAGCAGCTTCCATTGTTTGACTCTGAGCTCCCCACTCCCAGCCCAAGAACCGATGCTGCCTGTAGTGGGTATTTAAACATCAATGTGCACAGAAAGGGGAACCTATCATCTTTAGGGGTCTGTGATATGCCCCCAGAGTGATTCAGGAGGTTCCACAGTCCTGAGGGCACCCTGAGTGCCTGGGGTTCCCTTGTCTTTGGGGAATCAACTCCTTGCATTCTTTTATGCTCTTGCCTCCAAATGAAAGACATCCGCTAAACTTCACTGTTGGTGCAGTACAAAGAAAAACACAAAAGTAAATTCAAGGCCAAGACTGTTCCAGTCAGTGGTGCATATGTGTGTCTCCTCATGTGCAAGCTTTCATTCAAGTAGGAGATGAAGTCATTCAGAATGCTGAAGGTCAGTCTTGTGGGTTGTCTGAAAACAAAGCTCAAATGTCCTGTGATCTTGTGTGTGTGTGTGTGTGTGTGTGTGTGTGTATCCATATTGGAATTCAGAAGTCAACATTTGTTTTTCTTCTTTAGATACTCTCCATCTTATGTTTTGAGACAGGGTCTCTCACTGAATCTAGAATTCATTGATTTGGCTAGGTTGGCTGGCCAGCAGGTTCAAGTGATACACATCTCTGCCTCCCCCTGGTGGGGTCAAACCTAACTTTTTACCGTGTTTACTGGGGATCAGAACTCAATTCTTTAGGCTTTGCAGCAATCGCTTCACCAACTGAGCCATCTCCCCCACCCATGAGCCTATTTTAAGATGATTTGTATTACTGTCTAATCTACACCTACCTAAAATGGGACAGTGTTAATTTCTGCTTAGCACCAGTATAGATGAATTACTTTGTATTATTTTCCTGCTAATTTATGTTTTTATTTTCCAAAAAATTAAGTAATCCCATGGAATAAAACTGGAAATTTGAAAAAGGGGAATTGACAAAGTAAGTGTGAACTATGAGTCAGAGATTTCAGTATGTTCTGAGGATGCAAAGATATTCAAGCCAGAGGAAGGGAGATTTTAGAGACTGGGTCTTATTGGTCTTGTTCACCTCTGTGGACTTGACCTGGCTTGGCAGAATAGGGGCCTATAAATATTTGTTCAGTGAGTGAAGGGAGACTTGTCAACAGTTAATGATATGATCTTTGGTGAGTAGCGTGGCTGAATCATACAGACTAGATTCCCCTGTGGAAGGAAGAGGGGCAGTTCCCTTAGATTGGGTGGAGGTGAGGAGAATGCATTCAGTGGGAACTACTTTACCACTTGGTATCTCAGCAGATATGGCTCTCCTAAAGGAAGAGTGGGATTGGAAGGCATGATGCCTAGAAAGTAAGGAAGGAAGGAGAAGAAGAATATAACAGAAAGGGGAAGGTGTGCTAAATTCGCCTATGCTAGCAGATGAGAGAAGAGAGAAAAGAGGGCAGGGCCAACGAACCACTAGAAACCTAGGAAAGGTTAATTTCCTGCTTTTCTCTATGTAAAGACTACAAGAATTAAAAAAAAAAAAAAAGGTTGGGACTCTGACACGAGAAACTGTTGTTCTTACTGAGCAAGAGAGACCCAACAGCTCCAAGAGAAGCCTCAGGCCTAGAACGAAGGGTCTTCCTTTCTAACTAGCAGCCTGTCCTAGCTGTTTGCACTCCACCCCTCCAAAAAAAGGGGGGAAATTTATTGTTTGTAGTGGGAGGATTTTGAGAGATTTTAATGGAATTTTAATTTATCTGTCTTCTTTCTAAATAAACTATAAACATTATCACCGTATTTTCAATAAGAATATAAAGAAGAGTAAGCCAAAACTTCATTAGTCATATAGTTATGGGAATATTTAAGTGACTTAAAAAAGCTAGTCTTCGGATTCCATTCATTTCCCAACAGACCCTTTCAATGTCTATTTAAATCACTGATTATTGTCAAAAGATGATAGAGGAAAAAGAACAGGGAGGGAAAAGAAGGGAAAAATCAATTCCTCTAGCTCATGCCTGTCGTCCATGAGGAAACCAAGTATCTATGATGGTAAAGGACACCGTCTCCAAGAATTAGTTATGGTGAACATTATTTTACTTCATTGAAAAACAGCTAAAATTTGTATGTTTTTCAATAACTGCAAATAATGAATAAAGCATCCAGGTGTCCTAAGATACAGGCAATCATTGAAGCTTTTGGAAGGATACGCTGACTAGGTCACTTAAGCAGGCTACTCCACAATATAAAATACATCAAATCATTAATTTGTCATTCAGCTTGAACATATACAATTTTTAATTGTCATACCTCTGTAGAGCTGGGGACAACAAATGTTTTTTTTGAAAGTTGTATATGAGAAAGGAGTTGTAGGAGGCCTCAAAGGACAGTCTCATGAAGTAATTAAAAAGAAGACAAACACACAAAAACTGCAGAGTCACGGGAAATTGGTGGCCTGTTGTGCTCTCCAAACAATTTTTCAATCAACAGTAATCACGCAACAAACCCCAGTGCTCATGGGAGGCAAACTCTTGGTCTTAAATGGAACAAGAATTTCCGTAGCAAGTATCTTTTGTTCTGAGTGCTTTATTTGTGTGCATAGGTCCCCTGAGAATCGGAGCTGACCCTCTCTCATTCTTGCTAAAAGGAAGCAGAGGACCAAAAAGCTTGCAGTTGTATTGTGAATACCTCTGCTCTGTTCTTTGGTGTCATATCTCTTTCATCTAAATATATCAAATCTACAATCAGTGTGTCTCAGAAGCTCTAGACTCTCTTCCCTCAAGTTCACAGGCACACTCCACAGGCACCTCTTCCTTGGCAAACACAGCCTGTCATTTTCTAGATGAGTAACAGGCACAAATCACACTGCAATAAATGATTTCATGACTTTGGTCCCTATTTAATCTAATCAGGGTAGATATGGTTGATTACATGGACGAAAAGCTACTGAATAAACACGCTTATTCAGGAGTAACTAACCATTAGACAGTATTATGTAATGTCGAAGTAGCTGCTTGGCTCAATGTTATGGTTTCCATGGAAACTACATCAGTGAAGAGTAAAAGAGTTAAAAATACTGCGTTTTTTTTCCTCCCCCTCCCCGTGCATAAATAGATTGTCTGTATTCACATGAAGTTAGTTTATGGTAGCTTAAAAAAAGTATTGCAGTCACTAAAGAGTTATCTCATTATTAATGGGTAAAAATATTGAAACTGTCTTCAGAAAGGAATACAGGCTGGTGTCACTTTTCTGAGTTATTTGGGGAAGGAAATGATGCTTGGATTGACGGAGGCCACATGCATTTTACATGCACCGTTGCTTATTCAATGCTTAGGTGCCCTCCCATGCAAGGTTCATACGCCTCGGATACCACTTCTCTTTCCCAAAACAAAGACAGTGGCGGTGGTAAGAGAAGAAGCCAGAGAGTCCCAGGCAAATGCTGAGCTCCGCAGAAAATGGCTTCTGTGGAAAGCAGAGATTAATTACGTGAGGAGACAGCAGGCTGCGGTTTTGTGTAATGCAGGGCTCCCCGTGCTTGCTGGCCCCTGAAAGCGCTAGTTGCTGTAATTGCAGGAAGGAGTGGAGGGTGCAGCAACCACCGGAGTCCAGCTCTGCATTGTTGTGTTTAGGCATTTACTTCATTTTAATCCCCCGGGATAGATAAGGAATAAAGTTAAATACACCGACTCTTCTGAGTCGCAAGTTATACCTTAAGGAGCCTTACAGAAATCCGATTATTGTTTTAAAATCCCGTTGAAGGAGAATTGCCCTCTCCCCAAATGGCCATAAGGAGTCCAGAGCTGGATACCAGAAATGTATTGTTTTCTCCCTACACTTTTTAATCCTGGTATCTCTCTGTCTGTCTGTCTGTCTGTCTGTCTGTCTCTGTCTCTGTCTCTGTCTCTGTCTCTCTTTCTCTCTCTCTGTTTTCCTGAAGACTGGCTTTTTAATTAGAAGTTCCATGGAGGTCCTTTCCCATCTGAAGGTGTTTATTTGTTGTGAACCACTACTTCTTCATTCATTGGCAGTGATTCTTTGATACCTACCTTTGAGAAGGCAAATACAGAAAGCATTATCATTCTAGGCTTAGGACAGGCTTACTGTATTCATTAAAGGGAAGCTACATAAATTTTAAGCATCTCTAGAGCTTATCATTTCTAACTGGACTACATGTACTGTTATTCTCAAATATGTAGTCTCCTCCTTTTTACTCTGAACTTCAGGAAGGCTTCCCCAGTGAAGGAATAGGGTCACACATTTTTGAGGTTCTGGTGCAATATCAGGGGAAGAGAAGCCACTGTTGGCTCTATCCTAGAGCTTAGAATTAGCACAGAGAAAGGGCTTAGAGTTGCCCCCTGGGATCAGATAGATTTGGTGATGCACGAAGAAAAGCAAATACTAAGAGAAGCCTTGACCTACTGTGTTGGAAGTGTTGTTGACCCATTAGATCTGGAGAAGGCCCCTAGTCTGGGTATATACACACCCAGACACACAGACACATCATACACACATAGAATGACCTTTTTTTTTTCCATAGTAGAAGCTATGACAGAGCTGTCTGTCCCTTATTCCTCATCTTTCTTACACAAATGAAAGAGTGTTTAAGAAGTGTTCTTTATGTATCAAATCCTTTCATTCATTCTCCGCTTAACACTTCAAGGTATGTGTCACCAGCTGTATCTTAGTAATCAGGCAGAAAGGGGGCAGAGGCCTTAATAGTTTGCAAAAAGTTTCCTGCAGCATTTGACTGGATGCACTTGCCAACCCATTGCTAAGTACCATCTTAGTGGCCCAGGAAAGTCTTAAGGCTGCCAAATCTAGGGAGGGCATCTAAAGAAAATTCTGGAATAACCTTGAAAAAGGCTTGCCAAAGAAGCATCCTGATGACAAATGCCTTTGGCCCCATTTCTTGGACTTTGGCACCACCATTTTGAAATAATAAGGCTCTAATGATACCTTAGTTGTGAATATAGTTTCGTGGTCTATCTATATACCACATTTGTTCTTAAAATGGCCCAACTAATAGGTGTTAAGGCATAATATTCATTTACTGGTGTGAAAACTCATGTAGCTATCTCACACCTAATGAATTAGCCTTTGAAGGAATGTATTGGTCTGGTGTTAATTTACTGTGAAATGTGGATATTTGAATCTCCCAGTCTGCTGTCAGATGTATTCTCTGGTGCTCAACTAGGGTGAAATCAT